AAATCATGTTTGGCAAAAATAATTTGATAAAAATGTAAAATAATCAAAAAAGACATATTGAAAAATTAGTCAATTACAATATCTTATAATATAATTAAAGTACATATTTAATAATATAAAAATGTATTAAATACACAGAAGATAGTAAAGAAAAATTAAAATAATATAATATGTAATTAAAAGAATTTTAAATTAATTATTATATATACTATAAACTTTGGGTTTGTTAAAATATATGTTAGAAAAAAATCTACAGTAATTTATGATCTTAAATAATAATTATATATAATATGAATAAAAAAATTGAAACCTCAACTATAATTAATAATTAAATTTAAATATTTTATTAAAATCATTTAACACAATTTATTATCTATGAAAATAAGTATAGCTTTAACTTTCATGTAACTTAGGGGTCGTTTACCAAACACTTACCCGCTTAGCGCTTACCAGTAAATTTAACACTATCATTTACTTACCGGATAATATTTTAATCCATCAAAACGGTATCGTATGCAACAATTTACCCGGTAAGCACTTACCGTGTTAAGAGTCGTTGCCCTCACTTACCGGGTAAGACTCTTGGTCATTGTCTCGTTCTTTTCGGGTAAGATTTTTTATCTTTACCATATTCATCCGATAAGGTAAAATGACTTGGTGTTCACTTACCCGAGTAAGCATTTGGTAAACGGCCCCATACATAAACATTATTATAATTTTTATATTTGTTGTTTGATAATTAAATATATTGAATACTAATTAAAAATTAATATAAAAATAATTGATAATACTATTAATAATTCTAAATAATTAATCATTAACATTAATGTATAATTGTATAATCAAAATTAATTATTAATTTTCATATTAATTATTAATTTTCAACTAATATTTATTAATATTAGTATTTTTATTTATTTTGTAATTAACAGTAATAAATAAAAAATAATATTAATTAGGGTTATAATTGAAAAAATGACAAAATACTCCTCATAATATACTCCAACTAAGTTTCAATAAGCTAGCTTATATCCATCCTAACGTGTACTAAAAAAATAAGCTAATTTTTTTTTTTTCATCTTTTGATGATTATTTATTGAGGAAGGAGGAAAACATCAAATCCAAAAATATAAAACAAAATTTTGCTATTTTGATCGGTAATCCTTTGTGATTATCAGTAGATTATATACAGATGTAGAAAAACCAGACTATAAAAAAACCTAAAAGGTTGCTGCTAAACCGTTAGGAATCATCAAACAATTATCAATAAGAGTTGGTAAACGATGATATGAAAAAAAAAAAATTCAAATTATCTAAGAACTGGTTTTGGTTTTCATGGCTTGACCAGTTATGAAAGCATCGACACAAATTTCAGCATTTGGGATCAAGCCTCATGGACCAGGTCCTCGTGCATCTCTAACAAAAAAAAATCTTTTTAGCTTTTATAATATGACATGCTACTATTCATTATACTATAATTCATACAGAATGACGTTTTTATGCCACTATACATGTCGTTATAATTGTATGATCTTATTTTAACAAACTAATATAAACTTCATAATTTCATATATTTTGATGCTCGACAAACTGCTCGAATTGTTTTATATACTAATGTTTCCGTTAATGTGCCAGTAGTTATTATTATTTAATATATCAAAAAGTTTGAATTCGAAAAATCAAGATGTGTTCGTGATAATAGCACTTACTAGGAAGGGAAAATTGGATCAAAATTGAACCAGCTTTCACCTGATTCATATTTTAGGGAACCAACTTTCAAAATCGTCATTTTGGGGAACCAACTTGGACCTGATTCCTATTTTGGGGAACCAACTTTCAAAATCGTCATTTTGGGGAACCAACTTGCACCTGATTCATATTTTGGAGAACCAACTTGCAAAATAATTATAGAAAAATAACTAAAAATTTATTTATTTTTAAAAAATTAATGCAATAAAATCTATTTTTCATTTCAAATCTCGTTTTTTTTTTAATTCAGATATCTAATTGAAGATTTAAAAAAAATCCAAATTACCACAATAAAAATTGTTTTTTTACTAATGCAATAAAAAATCAATTTAATAAAAAAATTTAATTGATGCAATAAGAAATAAATATTAAATATCACATTCAATATTTTTATATCTAACAAATCCGTATCAATATTAAAGCTTAAATCAAATTTGGCAAATCAAACCAAAAGTTTGATAGAGACCCTTAAATTACCTGTTACCTRTTCAACAGATCAACCAGACCCTTAAATAAACAAAAAGTTTGATAGAGACCCCTAAATGACGATTTTTAAAGTTAGTTCTCCAAAATAGGAATCAGATTAAAGTTGGTTCCATTTTGGTACAATTTTCCCTATTAGGAACTCTATTTCTTGATGCATGTTCATAATGAAATCAAACTCAACTCGACACATAAGAAACACATGATCGTAAAAAAAATGTTAACAGTAGTACGCTTACAATGATAAATTCAAATTGAATGAATTTTTATCAGAATAATATATCTGAGAACTTTATGTTAATTCTTTTATAATAATGATACAAGTCTTGTAAATTTTGATGGAGTTTAAAAGATGTTGGTATTGTGTCAAAAGGTTTTCGATTGTGTAAACATTAATTTTTCCATTTTTGGAGAATATATGTTAAATCTGAATCCTACTGAGAGGTCCACTAGAGATCATAAATGAAAGTTTTATTTGTAATTTTATTATATCGATGTAAAAGACAGATATATTTTCAACAAGAATGGAAATGATATAATATGAATATATGGTAAGAATTGTTGTGTCTCTCCCATAACATATATCTATTGTTATGCATCATTTTAACAAAAATATGGTGAAATTCATATGAGGAATCATAGAGCCGACAACATCTGTTACGACTATTGGACATTTTTAAATCAATAAAAACGACTAAGAAAAACATTTATGGTATGTTTATAGATAATTTGGTAAAATCATTGATATTATTAAAAAAAATATTTTATATAATTTTTCCTTCAATTAACGAGCCTCTTCTACATGTAATTATGTTCCTTACTCATGAAATTGCATACAGGAATTTGTGATTCTTGTATGATATTCACATTTGTTTGGACTAGATGATAAGTCATGTCACACGATTGTGCTCGAAAGCATGTAGTTGAAAGAGGAACTGGTTGGGGAGCATAATGCATGAGATGTCGTTTTCTATAAATATTAACAAAAGTTGTATTTAAACCAAATTATGGGTTTCTTTTTTCGTTACTAAACATGTGTCGTTTTAATTGTTGTATATTTCAAAATATATACAAAATAATTCTTTTATGAGTGTTGCAAATGTCAAGACTCATGTTTTTCTCTCCATGTATTATGTTATAAATATTCGATGTTATCATACTGAGAATATTTTGAAAATAATATTTTAAATCGAAGAATAATTTACTCATTTTCAATTACAATACAAAAAATGTGGTTTTTGCTTGCATCTGATCGATGTTGAGTTGGCAATGTGGTTGTTCTCCCTTTTAGTAACGTAAATCATGCCAAAATATTCGTACATGTATCTACATTCTTATTTCATTAATAGATCACGTTTTTTTTTTACCATATAATAAAACTGTAACATTTTTAAATTAAAAGTATACAGCTGGTTTAGAAAAATATAGTATTGTATTCAAGATACGATATAATAAAAAAAGATCTGATTTACAACTGAATACCATGATTGTTTATTAATCGAACAAGATTACAAAATATACAAAATAAAATTATTATTGTTAGTAATTATTAATCAAATCACAAAGTGTTCAATATCTGGTAACTTTATTTTTTTGCGCGTTTTCAAGTCATATTTAAAATAAAAAATGATGTATGAGTTTAATGGGTTGGATTCATTTAGCATCCGTAGTCGTGAAACCTAAGAACTCACTTGCTATGTTTTTTCTTTCTGTTGTATCATTGACAACTCAACAAATTAAAAATCTCAATAAAACTCCATAATAAAAGGTTTTTACAAAAATTTCACTTATCCATTTTTTTAATTTAAATAATTTAATTTTATTAATAGATTAATATATAAATTTAATATATATATATATA